CTAGGAAAAGTCAAATAATTACAAAGAAGGTTTTCCTATTCTAGTTCCCGTAGAATCGGGTATTGATTACTTTCCAACACTCCCCCTCAAGTTGGAGAGTGAATATCAAGAACTCCCAACTTGCCTAGCATGGATAAGAAGGGATCTTTTCCCAAGGGTTTGGTGAACATGTCTGCTAGTTGATGTGAAGAAGGTATGAACTTGGTAGAGACTGTGCCATCTTGTATCTTGTCTCTGATGAAGTGACAGTCCATCTCTATATGACGAGTTCTATCATGAAAGACTGGATTAGCAGCAATATGTAGTGCAGCTTTGTTGTCACAATGGAGAATTGAGGCTTCTGGATGTGGAAGATGTAGGTCACTTAACAAGCTTCGTAGCCAAGTGAGCTCGCAACATGCTCCTGTCATAGCTCGATATTCTGCCTCTGCAGAAGATAATGAGACAGTTTTTTGTCTCTTAGTCCTCCAAGAAATTAATGAATTCCCAAGAAATACGCAATACCCAGTCGTGGATCTCCTCGTCATAGGACACCCCGCCCAATCAGAATCACAATAAGCACGTAGCTTCAAGTTATTTCCAGCTGAAAATAATAGACCTTGCCCTGGTGCATTTTTAAGATACTTCAGTATTCTGAGAGCTGCTTCCATATGCGGCATTCGGGGTGCATGCATAAATCGACTAAGCACATGTACTGCATATGTGATGTCAGGGCGTGTGATGGTGAGATATATTAGGCGCCCTACCAATCTTCTAAATTGAGATGGATCTTTGAGTAAATCACCTGCATCAGAAAGTTTGGTGCCTTGTTCCATGGGAAAGGCTACCGGTTTTGCTCCCAAAATGCCACTGTCTTTGAGTATGTCAAGGGTGTATTTTCTTTGTGAAATACATATGCCCTGTTTTGAACGGGAAACTTCAATCCCTAAAAAATACTTGAGATCTCCAAGGTCCTTTATTTTGAACCGTGACTGTAGAAATTGCTTAAGAGATGAGATTGCCTTTTGATCATTCCCAGTTATTAGTATGTCATCAACATAAATCAACAAGGCTGTAAACGATGTACCTTTCTTGCATGTAAAAAGAGAATAATCTGCCTTGGATTGGATAAACCCAGCAGCCAGAACAGCTTCAGTGAATTTGGCAAACCATTGCCTAGATGCCTGCTTGAGCCCATAGAGTGATTTATTGAGGCGACACACAAGATTCTCCCCCTGTCGCCGGAGACCGGGAGGAGGTGACATGTAAATTTCTTCATGGAGATCCCCATGCAGAAAAGCATTGTTAACATCTAATTGGCTAAGGGACCAATTTTGAGCAGCGGCGATAGCAAGCAAACAACGTACAGTAATCATCTTGGCCGTGGGGGAGAAAGTATCATGATAATCAATCCCCTCAGTTTGAGTATATCCTTTGGCAACGAGGCGAGCCTTATAGCGT